ATACATATATATACGATGAAAAAAATATCCATAAATTGTGACATTTACACATAACATCATCAAAATACCCGTATTAACATTAACATTCTTAGTATTTGTTTACCATTCTTTTAAAATAAGAGCCCGTTTAGTTTGTTAATTCGAGTTTTTAATTTGAGTTGATATGTAATTTTATGTGAGAGCTTTTTACTGTAGCAAAAAAGTTAGATGTGACTGTTTCTGAGAGTTTTTTTACTGTAACAAAACTCAAATTTTAAATTCGAATCAGTGAAATTAACATAGTAGTCAAATTTATTGCTGCCCACGTACGAACGGGTTAGTCTTTGTTTACCATTCCTTCAAAATAAGTTGGCTCGTTTAGTTCGCTGATTCGAGTTGAGATGTGATTTTATGTGAGAGTTTTTTACTGTAGTAAAAAAGTTAGATGTGATTGTTTCTGAGAGTTTTTTACTGTAGCAAAATTCGAATTCTAAATTCAAATCGGTGAAATGAACGGGTCCTAATCAAATTTATTGCTGCCCACGTAAAAAGGATATATCTGAAATGATATTATTTAATAATCAATAAGTTAGTCAAATTTATTTAGATATACACACAAGCACAATCACACAATTCCACCAGGCCATTCGACCACAAAAACCTTAAAGGAGGAGAAGTACATATAATTATATAAATGTATATATGCAATTTGAACGTTAGTGAAGTTGGTCGGTTCCTTGACTCCTTGTGCTTATGCATCAAAAGTTTTTTCTTCTCCTCTCTTTTTTAAGAAATTACATTATATGAAGGTGAAAAAATATATTATTACGGCACTGCAAATATTCATTAATTTTTATCATATTTGTATTTTTTTTATTTTAATATATTCGTACTCAATTGCAAAATTCATTTTTTTTTCTTTAAAATTATATTGATTTATTTTCGTTGGTAATAACTAATAAGGATTTAGCATTAGATTTCAGCTTGATAATGAATAGAAAACCAACTTTCACATAATTAATAATAGTTGTTTGATTGAGACTAGTGGTGAAGGCAGGAAATATTTTTTGCGGGGCACAATATGATATGAAACATGAAAACATAAAACTACTTGAATACTTCTCAGTTTTTTTTTCAAAATATAAATTCAAAATCTTAATGGGACATGTGCCCCAATTGAGTTGGTGGTGGCTTCGCTACTTGTTGAGATACGTCATGAGTAGAAAATAAGAAGGTATATTTAGTGCAAGACAATTCTTATATTACTTATCTTGAAGACATTAAAGTTAGTTTTTTTTATTTATTTTACTAATAAAAGAGGGATTATAATGTGTTATCCCACTCCCTCTGTTCTTATATAACTTATCTTGAAGACATTAAAGTTAGTTTTTTTTTTATTTTTTTATTTTACTAATAAAAGAGGGATTATAATGTGTTATCCCACTCCCTCTCCATCGTCTATAAAAGATATCTCAAGGGCCAGTGGCCTATTAATTGAAGAGTAAAGAAACAAACAACCATAGACTTGCTTTTTTTTTTTTTTTTTTTTTTTTTTTTTTTTTTTTTTTCTTTTTTTTTTTTTTTTTTTCTTTTTTTTTTTTTTTGCTTTTTTCCCATTTTTAACTCAATTTATTTCTTTTATTTTTCATACCCTATTAAATCTCAAATCCTATCCTAAATCCTAATCTGAAATCTGAAATCCCAAATATATAAAAGAGTGGACGTGTAGCTATTGTTCATTAAATAATAATAGCAACAAACGTTGAGCTTTAAGCATTTTAACTTTATTTTTCCGTTCATTTTTTAGTTTCAATTCTTTTTTGTTTTTGTTATTTTACATTTTATGTTCATCATAGTAGTCCAAAACGGTGAATTAGTTTCAACTTTTTTTAAAAAAAAATATTTTTTCTTATCTAATAATTTATGTTCATTGTGGTAGTCCAAAAATGTGAGTTTTAAGTGATTTTTTTCCCTTTCCTTTTTAAGCTTCAAATCCTTTATTTATGCTTTGTTTTGTTACTTTATAATTTGGAATGTTTCATTGGTTTTTTATGATTAAATGTACTCTTAAACTACTACCAATATGCACTCTTTTTTCTCTTTAAAAGTTAAGTGTGAGGGATTTAAACTCTATACTATATGGTGGAGTCAGGTTTATAATTACTGTTAAAATATGTTTACTATCACTTAATATATACTTTTTTTTAGAATAAATATACACTCTTTTTGAGTTTTTAAGTAAAATTTTTCTTCTATTTTTTTAATGTTATTATTCGTATTCTACATTATAAAAACTTTAATGACGACTCAATACGTGCACCACACGTAACTAAATTAGTAAGAAAGGAAACAAAAATTTACAAGTTGCAACAATTTATTGGTGGCATTGAAATTAGAAAATTGTTTTGATTTCCTTTATGTTCTTTAAAACGAATTTCTAAATGAAATGCGGAATTTCATTACTCTTTTTTCAAAATTAAAAATTGTAAAACAAAAATAAAAGTAGCATACTGATTTCTCTTCTTGCCAAACGACAAGGATTTTTTTTTTTTAACTTGCGTAAATACACATAAACTTCTCCGTTGATTTTTTTTCCTTCTTTTACTTTCTCCTTAAAAAAAAAAAAAAAGAGTCGATAAATGTAATTTTCCCTTTAAAAAACCCCCAAAAAAAATCCCTTAAAAAAAAAGTCATTCCCATTCTTCTTATTTCTTTCCTTTATTTATTTTGTCGCACCGTTAATTGCGGTCTCGTGTGAGATTGGCGGAAAACGCTTATAATTGAAGACTTTTTTTTTTTGTTTTTTTTGGGATTTCATTTGTTGGAGTTCTCTTTGGTCTTCATCAAAAAACACTTTCCAAATGAAAAAAGGTAACAAGTTTGTAAGTGGTGTGACGTGATTAGTACTTGTCAATACAACATTTAGTGGGTTTTTAATAATTTTTATAAATCGATTTTTGTTTTTTATTTTTATTTTTTCAAAATTCTAAGATAAAGTGTAAAAACATTTTTTTTAGGGAAAAAATATTTTATTTTATAGATAAAGGCACCTTTTAGTTCGCTGATTTGAGTTGAGATGTGATTTTATGTGAGAATTTTTTACTGTAACTAAAAAGTTGAAGAGACGTTTGGTTCATGGATTAGAATCATGTGATTAAAACCATTTTCGATTTACGTATATTTTTTGTGAAAGAAAATATTGTAGCGAATAATGAACTATGATTCAAATTATGGTTTAAATTTTCTAACTAAATATCCCTAATCTAACTGTTTATGAGAGTTTTTTACTGTAACAAAACTCGAATTCTAAACTCAAATCGATGAAGTGAACAGAACTAAACATACATTAAATTTTCATGAGGCCTGTTTAGTACATATGTTTTCCTTAAAAAAGAAATTGACATACGGGATTAAGAAAAAGACAAAATGATGTGTGAATATCTATTTACTTCGGCAATTGTTTGGTTAGTGGAAGGAAAGTTCTGCTCTTCCCCCACCCGCAAACAACCAAATGATGTGAACCGTGTGAAAATGAAAAGACAACACAAATCAACACCACCAAACAGTAAACAGCAACGCCAATCATAATTAGTAGATAAAAATTATGGAAAAAAAAAAGTGAGATAATTCACTTAGGATAAATTTATGAATTCTGCTCGTCAATTCCGTCGAGGAACCGTCAAACTTTGAAACACGCTTGCTGGGTTTTTCCATGTATAACATATCATGCGTATTTGAAATCGTTTTTAAAAATAATTTTTACGTATTTTAAGAATAAAAAAATAAAAATAAAATGACATTTATTTAATAAATATTTTAAATATAAAAATAAAAATAAAAATAACGAGAATGATTTTTATGAAAAATTAAAAAATAGTTGAAAGTTATTTTTATTTTTCTGTTTTTATTTTTTAGTACTTATCAATAATATTATAATATAGTAATTAATAAACATGATTTTATTTTTTTATTATACTCAAAACAATTTCTTAAAAAACTAATCAAACGCAATTTCAGAATCGGTCCTAAAATAATTCTCAAAATAATATCATTTTTACTTTTTATTGAAAATAAAATCATTTTCAAACCAATTCTAAACACACTCAATATGTCTCTATTTTCACCTTAAATTTTAAAATGTAACTTATTTTTTCTACGGAATTGTACATACAAACACACTAGAGACCAAATTCTTTAATTTCTTTAAACTCTTGGGGTTTGTTTGGTTCATGATTTAAATCATAGATTATAGTTCTGACGTTTAAAATTTAAATTTTTATGAGAAAAAAATACTATAATAGAATTAAGAATTATGGTTTGAACCATATAGAACCCTTAAAATAAGAGCCCATTTGGTTGGAGGATTTATTCTCTAATTCGAATCATGGTTTATGGTTCGTTACAGTATTTTCTCTCACAAAAAATATACATAAATAAAAAATAATTCTAAATGAATTAAGGTTCGTCTTCCACTACCCATTTTTTTTCCTTGTTTCTGAGCAACTACTTCAAGGAGAGAATAATATATCTTAGATTTGATCTCCAATTAATTTATTTGGAGCAATGGTCACCCCTTAATATATATATAATCTTAAACCAAACTACAATTCAACAATTCAGTCCAAAAAAAAAAGACGTTTCAATGTAAGCGAGGTAAATTTAGAGATGTGTTATGAAGAGATTAAATATGTACATTTTAAAGTTTGAGTACATGTTGCTATGTACTTAAAATTATAATATCAAATTAATTTTTAATAACATATGTAGAGTTTAAGGATATAGAGACTAGGCTTTTTTTGTTTTTATTAATTGTTGAGAAAAATACATTTATGTATTGTCTCACGTGAAAATGAGGCTATATTAAAATTTAAGAAACAAAATAAAAAAAAAAATTTAAAGCTCAGTAGTAAACCCATAATGATCGAAAGGTTGACACCAATAAGATTAAAAAAAAAAAAAGAAAAAAAAGTGAAGAATCAAAATGCAACGAATGGAAATTTTGAGTTAAAAAGCCGCCCACACCCCACGTTTTACTCTTGACATTCCCAAAGCCGATTCCTTTGCCTTTTTTCCCACAACACCCACCAGTTCTGTTCCACCATCACACCTTCTCTCTCTCCATTTTTGACTCTCCCAACCTTTTCTCTCTCATTATTCCATTCATTTTCCCTTCCTCATCCCCCTCTCCTCATTTCTCTTCCCCAAAATTTTCTCTCACGCCAAACAACATTCAACACCGCGCGAAGAAGAAACGAGACCTAGCTCTGCTGATCCTACCGATCTCCGCTTCGCGAGGGAGGTAATCGCTGGTCAACAATGGCGGCGGCGACTCCTGCGACCACCTCGAAGACCTCGGCTTTGTTGTCGATGTTCGCGCTCTGCGTCTCCCTAACCCTAGCTCCGCTCGTTCATGGAAACTCCGAGGGAGACGCTCTTTACACTCTCCGACGGAGCCTCTCCGATCCCAATAACGTCCTCCAGAGCTGGGATCCGACTCTCGTCAACCCTTGCACTTGGTTCCACATCACTTGCAATCAGGATAATCGCGTCACTCGAGTGTATAATTCATTTCTCTCTCTCTCTCTCTATATATATGTATGTATATATGTGTGTGTGTGATATTTGATTGTGTTTCGGCTCGATTTCTTGTGATATTTTGTTTAATTTTTGAACCGGTTCATTAGGACTTGTTTCTGTGTTTGTTTTGGATTTGAAGATGTTTTACTTCTTTGAGTTTGGTCCATTGTCAGCGCGGTTCGATCTGATTGAATTGTCTTGTACTTTGTGGAGGTTGGACTCGATTCGTCCTTTCACTGTTGGAATTAGGTCGTAAAGTGAAATTCTTTTGGATAATCGAATCTTTAGTTAGTTGTGAGAAAGGAGAATCATGTTAGTAATAAGGTCGGGAGTCATAATTAACTTTACAGTTCCTTTCCCTAGAAGTTTGATGAACAGTTAAATTCTGATTTTACACAAAAGAAAAAAAGCTTTAACCCGTGTTTTGAGATTAAAGGCCAGTTGGTAGGTAGTACTATGGGTATTAGAAAGTTTCATAATTGGAAGCAAGGAGATTGTTGCCCAATCTAAAAATTAAAGTTATTTTTGGGGTGCCTTTTATTTTGGCTGTAAATTTTTCAAAAATTCTTTAAGAATTACTTTTTATGGTTTTTACCAAGCGTAAATTTCAGCTGTGGATGGCTAGAATATTGATTTTGGGCTCTAAGAATCACTACCAAATTGGGCCTAAATTTGAGCAGGTTTGCTCTTTTTGATGAGAAGGAACTGTGGAAAATGTTTATTGGGGCTACAACCTTGTTGGGCTAATAGGGACTGATTGGGAAACCTGAGAATTTGAGGATTTTAATTCTTTCGTCCTTAAGGTTTTGGTGAATTGGGTGGTAATGGTTATGCGTTGATGTTTTAGTTTTAGAGCTCTTCTTTTCTTTCCTTTTTTTTTTTTTCCTCAATGTGATACATTTTATTATTTTCTTAAAATTCTGTAGCTATTTATTTTTGAATTTTTGATGATGGTTTTGACTCTATTATATTGTTATGCTTGATATTTGGAACAGTAGGATGCTAGCCTGTGTACAGTCTAGTGTTTTATTTCCTTTGACCTTGAAGGTTTGACCTGTGGTTCACCTCTTCAGCATCGTCCTTGCTGATTTTTCTTGCAACAGATATATTCTCCCTCGTTTCACAGTGCAATATATTTAACTCGTATGCTATTGTGTTGCATTGTGGGTAAATTGAATTCAGATATCCTTTCAGGACACTGTTACAGATTGGGTGTTTTGAGTTTGATGACCTTATAGGAAATGTTTTAAATTTTTTTGTACCTTGTGGTGTGTGAAGATGGTTAACAGAAGTTCTCCTATGGTAAATCATAGTACTGAAACACAATACAGTTGGATGATGAATTTCATCCCCCCCCTCCCTTTTTTTTTTTCCCAACGACGCGCACACCTACACCTAACTTGTGCTTTAAACTAAAAGGAATCTTGTCTGTTGATATAACTTCCCATGTTTTTCTTCTTTGCCTTTTGCTATGTTCTTTGAATTCTGAAATTGGAACTATTTGATCTTATTGAATATTCTATTGTGAAAAGAAGATCAATCCCAAAGTGTTCAAATATGTACAGTGTGCCAAATTAAGAAACTTGGTCATGTTCTTTTGCTTTCATCACGTTTTGAGTATCTCCCATGGGGGCCTTGCGTGTCAAGTTCTCAAAAAAAAAAAAAAAAAAGGTGTTGCAGGTGTCTTTCTGACTCGAAAACAATGCACACCTAAAGAAATGTAATGATACTACTTGGACTGTGGGCTATGGTTAAACTTTAATACATATTTGATGGGCAAAGTGTGAAAATCGGAACTATTGATTATCATAAAATAAATTTATTGCTTTTTGTATTTTTCCTCATTTTGAGGGATCATTTGATCTTTCTTTGGATGTCTAATGAAAATTTTCTGGGACTCCTCCCACCACATAAATATCAGCCTCACAGCAACTTCGTTTATTTGTTTCATATTTTTTAATTGAAATTTAGATTGAGTTAAGATGTTCTTCTAAATTTTCTGCTTCGTTTGATGTAATATCTTTTATGCCACTTGTATCACATCTATTAATCCATCCCGTTCTAAAGTTTTGTTTTGATTAGCTAGCTGTACTTTTTTTTTTTTATGGCTTATGTTCTCTCTCTTCATTACTGACAGTGTCCAATTAATTATATGCAGGGACTTGGGGAATTCAAACTTGTCGGGGTATCTGGTACCTGAACTCGGAAAACTTGAGCATCTGCAATACCTGTATGTTTCTTATCTTCACATTTCTTGATTTTTTTTTCAAGATTTCTTAATTATATGCAGATATACAACTGATGCTTCCCTGCATGATGAGTTCCTGAGTGTGAATATAATCAGTTTGTGTGTTATTTCTGCATGCGGATTTGCTTCTGTATAGCAAGATTTACTGCTTTCAATTAATGTTTGTTGCTGTAAGTAATTTGCCTTTTAATAATGTAGGGAACTTTACAAAAACAACATCCAAGGAACGATTCCAGTTCAGCTTGGGAACTTGAAAGGCCTCATCAGCTTGGACTTGTATAATAACAACATCTCGGGGACCATTCCGCCCTTGTTGGGAAAATTGAAATCTCTTGTGTTTTTGTGAGTACAATTGAATCTAGCAGCTTATCTATATTATACGTTTTTTTTTATTTTTGAGGTTGTGCTCGCTTAGATTTTTATTCATGCTTTGAAATGAATTGATGTTCTTTCCAAAACTTTCTATGATTGCTTGAAAAATGTGTCAAATGATCTGCTTGGGAGCCTAAATTAGATTTCTGAATGAACATGGGTGGGTTTCTGTTCATTCGGTGGGTTTCTTTTATTGTTGCATTTTGCAACTTCTCTAAAGTTGATTCTACTGGGTTCCAGCGATGACAATAATTGGTATTGAACTCTGATTAATTAGCGGTCTTCATATCTTTATGTAACCAAAGGGGCACCCCTCTCGGCTCTCTCTTTATGTCTATGCCGGGTTATGTAGCATTGTTACACTATTTAGTACTTGCTTTTGTCTCATTATCAATTTTCTTTAATTTTCAGACGGCTGAATGACAACCGTTTGACTGGACCAGTTCCGAGGGAGCTCGTTGGTATTTCAAGCCTCAAAGTTGTGTAAGTGGTTCTTGTGAATTCTTTTTTCCCCTCTCTTTCCCAGTCGAAAATATCCTCCTGATAATATTGGTACGCTATTCATGGTCTTGAAATGATCTATTTTCCAGGGACGTCTCAAACAATGATTTATGTGGAACAATTCCGACCACTGGACCATTTGAGCACATTCCATTAAACAAGTAGGTTCTTTAGTTTTTGCTCTCCATTACTATCCCATAGAAAAAGCAATGGCAATTTACTGTTTTATTTTATTTTTGTTCCTACAAAAGGAGGAAGGACGACTTTCTTCTAAAGTTGCACAATACTTCCTGCTTTAATTGGACATCTTTGTGCATGTGACTTGCATATGTGTTCTGGAAAGCCTCATTTTTTCTCTCGTGGACTTCGAACTACCAGTTCACGGTCTTTCTTGCTGTGGCCAAGTTATGCATTCAATATGTTAAATATATGTTTTATTTTAAATTTGTTGCTTCCTCATTCCGATCACCTTCCAACCTTACGATGTTGATTGTAGATTTGTTTGTTTATTAACATAGAAATTTGTATTTGCAATGTAAATTACATCGAAAGCAAAACAATATGTGCATAAGAGTGGTATCGAAGGTAGTGCTATCGAAAAATATTGGGGGAACTTTATTGAATATTTGAGCCTTGTATGGTACGAGAGTTTATAAATGCAACTTCTATTTTGTGTTATGAGCTATTTTGAGCTATAAGCTACTGTTGAATATAATAATTTCTGAATGAAAAGTGAAAGGGGCTTAGGCAATATGTTGGAGCTATTTCGTTTATTTGGCTAATCATGATTATTTGAGTGATCGGTTGTAAAACAAAGAGTTGTGGTGTGAGGACACACCTTAGGCAATATAATAGTCCTCGATTTTGTACGATTATTCAATATATTTGTATGTGATAAACAAAAACCTGTTATCACAAGTACATGAAACTATTTGTATGTTACCACTTATGAATTATACGTCTTAAAATGATGTTCTCTGCACTTCAACATTTTCTCGTCTTTTCATGAAATTGAATCTTTTAAACTGAATATGATAATTTCAAGACTAACTTCTTTTGTTCCATTGATGTAGCTTTGAGAACAACCCTCGACTCGAAGGTCCAGAATTGTTGGGGCTTGCCAGTTACGACACAAACTGCTCATGAAGGAGGATGCGTAAAGGTGCTAAAAATATTGACTCCGCTTTGGGTTAGGTATTTTACTTTAAAAGTTGAAAATGTATTACCTCATATTGTAATGGGATAGGAGATAAATTTAATCCACCATATAAGAATATGTATATCTGACGACACGACAATGTGAATGTGTTCGTAACTGTATTATCGTGTCCTGCTAAGAACGTGTAAGACATGAAAATTATATTTTTACAATATTAGTGAAGAGAACTTCGTATGCATAAGCATGAGCCTCGTTCACGTACATGACAAAAGTCGTAGTTTCTTGCCTTCTGAAAATTGTAGGTTTTGATGTAAAGCTCTAGTTTTAAACTTGGGTTCACTTAGTTCAGGAGGATATCTGTATATTAAAAAAGAAATTTTACCTGTCGAGGTTTTCCAATTTTGGAGTCGGATATAGTCCCTTTTATTCTTTAATTATACGGTTATGAAACTGGAACATGCTAATTTGGGAAGAGATGAGTATCTAGGCTTACCAGAGATGTACGGCAACCTTTTGTTGGTTCTGGTGATGAAAGCTGTCCTATACGATTAAAGGCATTCATTTTCCATTTTTTTATAACAATGTAACTTGGCAGTGGGGAGATTCGAACTCGTCACCTTATGATAGAGTCAGGTGCGAAATTACTATTAGGTTACGTCTACGACAACTATAAAAAGTATGTTTTTGTGTACGAATTGTTAATATTCTAGATTTTTCATTATTATTTATTTATTTTTTGCTCGAACCTGAATTTTCTTTTGTTTTTTTATTTATGGAAAAACAGAGTTTTATTAATAAGCCAGGTCTGCTGTAACATACCCACCTACAGCATTATACACTAATCTTTTGACATCTTAAACTAAACCAGCATCTTCAAAGCATTTCTCCGAACTCGGACCTCTAATGACATTAATAGCATCCGTCTCTCTACCAAATGAACCTCTGACCCATGACTCGCGCCAAACGATACCTTCTCGTGAGGCTAAACACTCGGCCACATGAGGAGAGCAGCGGCCACGCAACCTGCGCGCTAGACAAGCAAGAACCCGAGTTTTCTTAAGTGTCAACACCGAGTCCAAAGTTATGCATTCACATCACATGTCCAAGCAAAACTATATGAAAAATAAAACACCCGTTAACAAAAGGCAACAGTTTCTGTAAAATGTAAATCCTTCAGCAGTTGGATGGATTAAGTTTATATAAATTTTAATCCTACTGGATAAAAGTCAGGATGATTTCAACTCAGAAATTATCTATGGATACATCTTTCAATAGATCTCTCTCTCTCTTTTTTTTTTTTTTTAATCTGAATGGATCTCAATTGAAAGTATTTCATTTCAAGTGTAAGACTAGGTGGCAATATATTTGGAGTAGGAATATTAATATGAAGGCAACAGAATTAATAAGCAATGAGTCAAATGTTAGTTATGCGAATCAAATCCTAATAGTGAACAAATCATAAAATCCAAAGGTCTTGGAACAATATGGTTTCACAATGTCATAATTGAGAGCAGACCAGCCTCGATCTATGAAGGGTTTCTTGAAGAAATTCAGATTGTAGAAAGGCAATTTTGATAAACTGGGTTTCTTTCCCTTGACTAGAGTTTGACAAGCGTTTTACCCATGGAGAGAGAACGTACAATACTTGGGTTAAAAGAACCAGTTAGATATATGTCAAATCTCCTACTTAATAGAAAGTTTGGTTTATGAATTTAAAATCATGATTCATGATTTTAATTTTTAAAATTTAATTTTTTTTGTGAAAAAAAAACACACGAAACAAACATTCCAAAAATGTTCCATAATAAGAAACCATTAACTTTTTCAACTCACAAAAAGAATTTTACCACATAAAATATTATTAAACAATTATTATAATTTAAATAAATATAGATATTGCAAAAAAAAAAAGCCACCTAATATCTAAACATTCTCTCACTTGGCCTATATAACATTATCTAACTTAATGGTTTAATCACAAGAGTTAATTACATATAGGACAAATTACATTTATTCCCTCTGAACTATAAGCGTTTGAATAAAATGCCTCATAAACTTTAAAAATAATAAATTTTCCTCTTGAACAATTCGCCGTTAGCACGAGTCCCCCTTTTCTACCCCCTCGGTTAAATTTTGAACGTTAAGTGCCACGTGAATGACATGTGACTCTCATTTTAAGGGCAAAAAAGTAATTTACTGTGTTGTGTTAGAAATAGGACAAAATCCATTCAAATTTCCCGACTTGGTTCTCGGTTTCTGATGACTTGGTTCTCAGTTTCTAGTGACTTGGTTCTCGATTTTTGAGACAGATCGGAGAAGTTGAGTTGGGGCTTTTATTACCCACTTACTTTTGAGTGTTTTGACACTAACGACATGAGAAATGGCAACCAAAATCGACGAAATCAAACTCCTCCACGGCGAGCGGCGGCGGCAACTTCAAATCCATGCAAATCGGTGAGGATGGCGGCGGCTACTGGTCGGGATTGACTCATTTATGGATTCTGAGTGAAATGATGAGGGCGGTGCACTTCACCACCGTTTGGACTGCGGTTTTTTAAGAGGAGGTGTGGCGGCCATGGAGGGCGATTGCGGTGAAGCTTTTTCGGAGGGAATCAATGACAAACTTTGGGTGGGTCTTGTTCCTCTCATCACTCTGAGTTCATAGAGACCGGAATCACTCCGATCGAAGGTCAGACGGAAAAGTTATGGCCATTAGAAGTTTTAAGTTTTTCAGAACTTCGGCCGGAAAGTGTGCCTTCATCCAGCGGAGTTGGCAGCCGCAAGATGCTAATCAAGACTCGGCTCGACGAGGGCTTTCTGATGAGCCGAGAGATGTCGAAAATGGACGCCGGAATACTTGCCGGAGATTGGTGGTTGTGCACGGGAATGGGAGAGGAAAGAGAGTGAGGGTTGAGATGTTTTTGATCGGGTGAGATTGCCGAATCTATATGGGCAAAATTGTTATTTTAGAATAGAATAAAATTAAATGCTTCAAAGACTTTCATATGGCACTTAACGTTCAAAATTTAATTAAAGGGCAAAAAAAAAGGACGCGTGCTAACGGTGAATTGTTCAAAGAGAAAATTTATTACTTTTAAAGTTTATGAAATATTTTGTTCAAACACTTATAGTTGAAAGAGAAATAAATGTAATTTGTCCTTACATATATGTTTATTATACACGAGTTAGAAAAAATGGACGTCCACAAGTTGTGATAATGCACATAAATCTATAAAATAACCCATAACGATATTTTTATTTTTTGTTAACCACCCATAATCACCCACCCAAAAAGAGTATATTTGAAATAATATTATCTCAATATCTATAAAATAATCGTATTAGTGACAAATTCTCAATATAAAAGTGATCAGTTTGTATAATTACTTCTAATAACAAAACATAAGGGGCATATTATAAAGCTAATCCTTTCTTTTATTGGTCACATCATATATAACTATTAAGGAACAACTAATTAATAAAGATCACAGCAGTTGTATGCTATCATTTCAATAGAATATCTTCCATGCATCGAAATATCAGTTCTATATTCAAAATGATTGTAACGGAAAGTATAATAATGGTCTAACGATAATGCTTTTGTGACACATTAATATATAAACACCGACGAAATATACTAAGATGTATAATGCGCAAATGAGCTCAGAATATCAAAAACATAAAAAATCAAAGAGCTTCAATATAACGTCAATACTGAAATCATGCCCATTCTCTGACATGTTGATTAATAAATGTTTTTGGTAGCAATCATTTTGTTAATGAGATCCGTAATAGTAAGGGTGGTGCTAATGTGCTAGGTGGACACTCTTTATTTGTGAAACTCTTCTTTAACGAAAAAGTTTTTCACATTCACAGGTTTAAAACACTTTGAATATTCGTCATTTTGTTTTTAAAAGAAGACTGCTACGTAATGATCACAATTTTAGCAAGCTAGACAATACCACTGACAATTCTAAGTCCTAAAATGAAGCTCCGTGACCATAACAGTAGTCTCAAATTCTTCTGCAGTAACGTCGACGTTTAGTTTATAAATTTAAAATCATGATTCAGATTTATTCTCGATTTACGTGTATTTTTTTATAAAAAAAAATACTATATTAAATCATGATTCTAATCATGACACGAATCCACTAATTAAATGCACTACGACAACAATGAGAAATTATTTAACATTTTTCTATGAGATTGCTCCTCTAGCTAAAAGGAACAACTAGGCAAATGTTGATTTTTTTGGTATCAATACGTCTAGGAAAATCTAAATAAGAAATATCTATTCACCTTAAAATTGTCGAATATTCTATAAAAGAACATGTGATCTTTCATATTTTACAAGCATCTCAATATTTTGTTTGCAACCCTCCAATGACCCCCTTTTTTAGACTTCTTTAATATTGACTTCTTAAATTTACGCATTATGTATTCCTTTTCTTCAACTGAAAAATCCTAGAGTTACTCCGTATAATCTTCTTCCTTTAAAAATATCCATTTTAAAAAGTGATTTTTATATGCATTTAGGATCTGTTTAGTTCGCTGATTCGAGTTTTTAATTTGAATTAAGATGTGACTGTTTCTGAGAATTTTTTACTGTAGTAAAAAAGTGAGATGTGACTGTTTTTGAGAATTTTTTACTGTAGCAAAACTTAAATCGGTGAAAGCTTTGAGTCACAACAATGAGCTACAGGAAAAAAGTCTCTTTATAGTCATCGTTGTCCTTTTAAGTAAAATTTTTGGCAACAAGTTTGGTCTCATATTACTCGACATTGCCATTTGAGTAGCGTTTCACCATGAAGACTTATTTACACCTGAATCTTTTACAACCTTTCAGCAATTCAACGAGATTCAATACTCCAATATGATCCATTGGTTTCAACTCTTAGATGGTGAAAAGTTTATATCAGAATCTTTATATCGGAATTTCAACTTTCATATGAGATTAACTCAAAAATTAATATTCCAGTTGTTATAATAGCATCATGGGAGCAAAAAGTTTTATAAAATTTTTTTTTGAAATGGATTACACTGAGTTTATCAAATTTTTGGAACCAAACAAACAATTTTGTGGTGTATTTCGGCACAGTTTCAGACTCAGCTCTTCAAGAGCATTCCAAGTACAGTACCGTGTCCAAGGCAGAGCTCTCCTATAAAGTCACATCTCAACTCATAACGCCAATATATGGAGAGAACGGCGACAATGTATGGAGAGAAGAGGAGGGGATACTA